TAGTCCTCTTCCTCAACTGGGGGTGGCTCTCTCATTGAATGAGGAGGATACAAGTAGTCCTTGATTTGTTTAGTGGCCGTTCAAAGAATGCAAATGGCCATAAATGCAGGCTGGTTGCTGCTCCCCCCAAACAAACGCAATCGTGTGATCAGTGGGGCAGCTGTTTGAATCCGGGTCTCAAAATACTTTTGGGCGACTTTTTATCGCTTTGAATGGTCATTAATAAACGGCCAGTTTATGGTCAACGAGATGCACCTTTTTTGAGGAATCGTTCTCAAACGTTTCTCCCATGTGCCCCTGGTGGCAGCTTTGGGGTCCCCCAGGATTATTATAAAATGGGGAGGGGGGGTCTTGTGTTTCTGTTCACCCCTTGTTCCTCCCTTGCAGCGCTACCCTGGACCCCCAGGAGAAGCTGGAGATCCTCCAGAAGACGTACGAGGAGATTGAGGGAACGATAAACCAACTATTGGGGAAGGAGTGCAACCTACCCATGGACGACTTACTGCCTCTGCTGACCTACGTGGTCACGCGGGCAAGGTGAGGAGACCCTTCTGTGAACGGCAAGAGGGGGAGAGGGGGGATGCACACTCAACGGGCAGCAACCAAGCTCAGAGAGCAACAGGGACCCCACGGTCCTCCCCTCCTCCTCCTCTTCTTCCTCTTGTCCCTTCTCCTCCTCCTCTTTTTCCTGTCCTCCTCTTCTCCTCTTTCTCCTTTCTGCAAACCCTACTCCCTTCTAGCACTGGTGATGTTACCTAGTTGGGTCATGAAACATCTACAAGGAAACCACCCAGGTCAGAGAGCACCAGGGACCCCACAGTCCTCCTCCTCCTCCTCCTCCTCCTCCTCCTCCTCTGTGCAAACTTCAACCCCACTCATAGGCTTCCACAGAGTACGATCAAGATTGGGTGGTCAAACCACTTAACTCTTGGGATGCCGCTCTGCAGACACCCAACTTGACTGTTACCCGCCTTCCTGCCCTGACGTAAGATGTTCCTCTCTTGTAGCATTCAACATCTAGGAGCAGAAGTTCACTTGATCAGAGATTTGATGGATCCCACAAATGGTGGAAAGCATGACTTCCTCTTGACAGCACTGGAGGTTAGGATGGAGGGAGGAAAGAAATAACAAAAGGACAAAAGGAGGAGAAAGAAAAAGGAGGGAGGGAGGGAGGGAGGTGGAAGAAAGCAAGAAGGGGAAGGGAGGGAGGAAGAGGAAAGGAAGGGAGGGAGGGGGAAGAAGGCAGGAGGGAGGGAGGAAGGGGAAAGGAAGGAAGAGAGGAAGGGAGAGAGGGAAGAAGTTAGGAGGAAGGGAGGGAGGGAGAAAGGAAGGAGGAGGACAGAAGAAGGGAAGGAACGGAATGGGAGAGGAGGGAGAATGGAAGAAGAGAAAGAAACAAAGAAAGAAAAAGAAAGAAGGAGGGAGGGAGGGAGGGAGGAAGGAAGGAAGGATCCTTCCCTTGGATTTGCAATGGCATATTTCTTCATCTACAGCTGAGCTGGACTTATAAATCTTTTTATAAATCAATTAAAAGTTTCTTAATTGGTATAAAGCTAGATTGAGTTTGCAGCCTTTTAAACTCAGCTTGTAGTATTTTCCAAAAAAAAAAAAGAAAAAGATAAAATTTTAGCAGTTGTCAAAATTCAAATTTTTCCTGATGTTGTGTCCGTTGCTGGAGGTTTTTCCCCCTCAACATTCATGGGGTGTTGGAAGAGGGAAGCTCTTGAGCTTGAGGGGAGGAGCAGAATAAATGCAAGGTTTTTTTTAGTTTTTAACACAACTTTATTTCTTGTCTTTTTAGTCCTGCTACCAGCTTATCCAGGAGATAAGGCTACCTCGAGCGGCGGGCGACTCCTGAAAGACTACGCAACCCATCATCAACAGCCAATAGCAGTTGGAGAATTTATTCTGATCATGCCCAGGAACTGGACTGGACATAGTTGCTGCTATAGTTTTATTTTTTTAAATTAATATGTCTTTCCTATGGGAAGTGTGTTCATTCTTTTAGATGAGCTGTCAATTTGTTTGAAATTGAACCAATGACCGGAGCTCGTTTTGAGATTGACAGAAAAAAAAGAGATGGGGTAAGGCTACAGGTAGTCCTTGACTTACAACAGTGACCATTCAAAGTTACAAACAGTGGTGAAAAAGTGACCTATGGCCATTTTTCACACTTGCGACTGTCGGGAGAAATATCCATCTGGCTCGGTTCCAAGCTGGGAGAAAGACACTGGAAACCTGGAGGTTAATCGGAAAGATGGCTTATTGAAGCAGAACCACATGGGTTCTGGATAGCTGACTACATGGAGTTGAGAGCGGGGTGTTAAATCTTCTTTCGGGCGTTGTACTTGAGCTTCCTGTTCCTTTGCAAGAACCTGTCTTCTGTTGGCTGTTGTCAGATTCCCATGGGGTCATGTTAGGGTCATGTTTGTCTGAGCTGAGATTGGTTGAAGTTTGGACTGCTGATGCAATGTGTCAGAGCGTTTGTAGCGTGGCTGCTATTGTGAGACAACCCGGGAGCAAAACACAGCACACACAGGCTTAGACATTGAACAGTGGTTTATATACAACAGTTATTTACAGAAATATACGTGGTAGGCAAAAATACCTTACAAGCAATCTTTTTTCTTAACTCTGCACGGAGACCTCTGCAATGAATACGGGACACAAGGAGAGGACGTGCCCTCTAACGGCTGCCTCTTATATAAATACCTCTTAAAGGGATAGAACCCATTCCCAGTCTTAAAGGGAAATACCCATGCTATGCTGATTCATTCTTATTGCATCAGCTTCACTGCTGGTCGGCTTTTAAATCACAAGACCTTAACACAATGTCCCCAGGTGATTTTGTAAGGCAGTGAGCCCTGCTGCTAGATAATCCTATTGTGTCCTGGAGGGTCCTGTCTTAATCCCATCACCCTGGGGGCCGAAGGTCTTTTGTTGTGTAGATAGGCTGGCCCAGTCTTTCTCAACGTGCCCCAAATATCTGCCCCCAAATATCTGCCGTGGGGAAGGAGATTGATTCTGCTTTCCATCTTTTAAGAACATGTTTCTCCATTCTTCCTTTAGGGAAATATAATATTCTGCCTTTTTAATACTTCAAACAATATTTCATTCACCCACGAGAGGGGTGGGTGCTAACTTTCGACAGCAGCAGCACCCCCATGGTCACGTGATCAAAATTCAGACACTCAGCTACTGTCTCATATTTATGACAGTTGCAGTGTCCTGTGGGGGGGACGGACCCGTTTTGCGACTTTTTGACAAGCAGTTGATGGGGAAGCCAGATTCACTTAACGACCGTGGTATTAACAGCTGCCCTTATTGAAATAAAAATTCAATGAATAAATAGAAGTAAATATGTTCAGTAAATAAACCCTTATTCACTGAAATAAAAATTCAATGAATAAATAGAAGTAAATATGTTCAGTAAATAAACTTGGTAGATAAATGTAATAAATAAATAAATAAATAAACTTAGTAAATAAACTAACTTGATAAATTAGTAAATTCAATAAATAAATTTGGAAAATAATTACGTTTAGTAAATTTAATAAATATAATTTTTTTAAAAATCAATTATATTGCCTGACCATGGAACTGTTTCTAAAAATAATCTAGTTGCCAAACACTTGCAATTCAGTCAGATGACCTCAGGAAGTTCCATCAGAACAGTCATTAAGTGAGGCCTTTTGTAAGGAGATTCAATAGAATACAGGTAGTCCTTGACTTGTGACCACAACTGAGCCCAAAATTTCTTTTATGTCAGAAATTTGTTAAGTGAGTTTTGCCCCATTTTACAACCTTTCTCGCCACAGTTGTTAGTCCCCGTTGTTAAGTGAATCTGGTGCCCTCCCCAATTGACTTTTCTAATCAGAAGGTCGCAAAAGGGAACATGTGACCCCAGGACTCTGCAACCGTCGTAACTGTGAAAAAGTCATGTCACTTTTTTCAGTGCTGTTGTTAACTTTGGTCACTAAATGAACGGTTGTAAGTCGAGGACTACCCGTGTAGTGTTTTTTCCGTGTTCTTCGCACTTCTACTTTCTGCTAACATCTCGTGGATGCATTTTTGCTGATCAAGCTGCAAAATCCCATCCTTTTTAACAGCTTCACCATTTCTCTTGAGAGCTGCAGTCCATTGAGGGCAGAAATCTCATTTTTATCCGTCCTATTTGAACACTCCTTGCTGCTTCCACCGATTAAAACAGAAGGAACAGGATCCTACGGATGGAGGAATTAAGGATCTCAAGATGATCCACCAGAAGGAAGGGGGAAAACACTTAAATTATGAAGTTGCAAAGGGATATGCGATTTTCTACAACTGCTGGCATTTCTTACTGAATGCTAAATTGTTTTGGGGTTTGTTTGTTTTTTTAATTTTTACAACAGGATTAGTTTTGGGGAACAGAGAAATTTAATGTGACAAGCATTTAGCTTGTTTTCCTCCGCGGCCAACTTCTCTCAAGTACCAGGTAGATTATTTCCCAGCCATTAGAAATGCAACTCTATTTTTAAATCTAATTCACTCCAGAAGAAATTCTGGTCTTTTGTAGAATTATTGACTGAGTTTTATATTTAAAAAACAAAAATTAATAAAGTACTTAACGTCTCCTCAATCCTTGTTTATGCAATATGTCAGATAAAGGTGATAACTACAAAAAGACCTGCTGTATAAGAGACATCTTATTCTGGGGGCATTTTTGCACTGTGGGAACAAAAGGAGAGGAAAAACGGAAAGAGAAGGGGAGGGAGGAACGACTGAGTGTGAGGAAAAAGGAAAGGAAGGAAGGAAAAGAGGGAGGGAGAAACTGAGTGTAAGAAAAAAAGAGAAAGGAAGAAAAACGGAGGGATTGACTGAGAAAAAGAACGAGAGTAAGAAGGAAGGAAGGAGGAAAGAAAGGAGAAAGATGGAGGGAGAGAGGAAAGAAGGAAGGACAAGGGACGGAGGAAAGGGAAGAGGGAGGAACTGAGTGTAATTAAAAGAATAAAAGGAGGAAGGAGGAAAGGAAGAATGAAGGAAGGAGAGACAGGAAGAAAAGGAAGGAGGAAGACAGGAAAGAGGAAGGAAGGAAGGAAAACAGGAAGTAGGGAGGAAAAGTGGAATTGAGTGCAAGAAAAAGAATGAAAAGTGTAAGAGCAAAGGAAGAAGGGAACAGAAAGAGAAAGAAGTAAGGAGGGGGGGAAGGAAAAATGGGACAGAAGGAAGGCAATTCCAGGAGATGAAGTCCACCCATCTTACAGTCGCCAAGGCTGAGTAACCACGGTTTACACACAAACTTTTCACCCTGCAGCATTTTCAGCCGCAGCTCAAGAGCGACCGATTGAAAAGACCAGAGAAAACAAGGATGTTTAATTCATTTATTATCTCTTTTTTTCTTTCAATGTGCAATTTTATCAAGATCTCCAGATGCTCTGGGCAAAAACTTGTGTGTGTGTGTGGGGTGGGGGGTGGGGGAGAGGTTGGGGTCCACTTTAAAGCAGGCTCCCGCCAGGAAAGGTAGAAGTGGACATTGAATGGGCTACAGCTAAGAGGAAGACCAGGCCCCAGGCAGTCCCTGTTCAGAAGGAAGCCCCTCTAGGGTTGGGGTGCTTCCTACAGACACCCCCAAAGGGGGTGTCAACATCCTAGGAGTAGCTTTTGAGCCCTTACGGCCTATGGACTAGTTAGGCTTAGCCGTAGCGCCTAAGCTCGTGTCTCGTAACTATGCTTAAAGTGTGGGGTCCTGGGTGGGTTTTCTCGCAGACGTTTCATGACCCAACTAGGTAACGTCATCAGGGCTATACGGGGGAGGGGGGAAGATTGTGGTGGAGAAGAGGAGGAAAAGGAAGTGGAGGTGGTGGACAGTAGAGTCCTTGGTGCTGTTTTTGAGTTTGCTTGCTTGCTTTCTTGCACGTGTTTCATGACCCAACTGCGGGGGGGTCTTTGGTGTTCTCTGAGCCTGGGGGATTTCTTGCAGATGTTTCATGACAGTCCCCCTCTTCCTCCTCCTCCTCTCCACACACCCCTCTCCCTTCCAGCACTGATGATGTTACCCAATTTGTTCATGAAACATCCGGGTCAAAACAAGCAAAGCTTAGAGAACACCAACAATTCCAGTCCTCCTCCTCCTCCTCCCCTCCTTCCGGACATGCAATTCCTTCCAGCCCTGATGATGTTACCTAGTTGGGTCACGAAAGGTCTGCAAGAAAACCGGCCAGCTCGGAGGGCACCGAGGACACCATGGATCATTCCTAAAATGTACATTAAATTTTGTGCTGTCTTTTTTTTTTTTTTTTCAAAGGAAGGGACACACCCTTCCTCCAAGCAACTGTTGCGGGTTAACACACGGAGAGTTCAGTCTGTTTCCCCTGTTTGAAGGACCACCTCCTCCAATCTCCAAGTGGCCTCCTTTCCTCTCCCCTATCCCTGGCTTGAGCAGCCTCCATGTTCGCTCATCACATCTGATCCAGGAGGAAGAGAGAACGTCCGGCCTCTGGAGGAAAAGGTCCTTTGTCGCTCCAGATCGAGCCTTTGTTCCTCGGGGGGTTGGACTAGAAGACCTCCAAGGCCCCTTGGTTCGATTCTATGTTTCTTTGTCCTCCTGGTTTCTTGAATTCGCCAGGGGTTTCAGGAAATCTCAGTTTTAAGAAAAACAAAAGAGGAAAAAAACAAAAAACACGACAACAACCCTGGCTGATTCCGAAAGCGTCTTGAACTCAGAAGCAGAAAGGCAAGGCGGGAAGCAGCCCTTGAAGCTGAGGAAACAAGCATGGCTTATAGTAGGAAAAGTGGGCCAGGCTTGAGCCAGTTAAGACCCACCACGACCTTCGTCCAATCCCTGAAAAGTTGATAGGCTGTGCCTGAGCTGGAAGTTCCTAACGGCTCTCTCGCGTTCGCGCCAACCGAGGGGGGGGGGGGGAAAGAAATGGCTTCAAATACGCGAATTCCACCCCCTCCCCTTTCCTTTTTCTCGCGTCTGCGTGCTCCACCTTAAGGCTCTTTTCGGCCGGCCCAAAGAATCAAAGGAAGGAGAGGTGCTGAGAGTATAAGCTTCTATAGAGACAGATATAGAGATATAGAGAGATATTTATTCAGAATTAAGTTCTGTCGTGTTGGACTTGGCCGGATTTAAACGAAATAACTTATAACTTATAAGTACTCTAGTTCTATTCTGGTGGAAGAGAGTTTTCGGGGAGCAAATGGATTACAACTCCCCACATCCCTCCAATTTGACTCGTTGCTTTTCAGCAACGTTTCTTAACCTCCCCCTTTAAATTGCCTACTTCGGGGGTCTTCAAACTTGGCAACTTTTAAGACTTGTGGACTTCAACTCCGGGAGTTGAAGTCCACAAGTCTTAAAAGTTGCCAAGGTTGGAGACCCCTGGCCTAATTCAGCCCCTAAAGTCATCTACAACTAGCGGAATACAGGTAGTCCTTGACTTACAAAGGTTCATTTAGAGACCGTTCAAGTGGCTTATGACCTTTTTTTTTTACACTTATGACCGTTGCAGCATGGCGATCAAAATTCGGACACTTGGCAACTGTCTCATATTTACGATGCTTGCAGTGTCCTGGGGTCAGGTGATGCAACCGGGTTACTAAATTATCAGCCGCGGGGATTCACTTAATGACGGTGGCAAGAAAGGTTGTAAAATGGTGACAAAGTCGTTTAAAATTTGTCTCAATTAGCAACGGAAGTTTTGGGTTTTCAGCCATGGTCGTAAGTCGAGGACTACCTTTAAAACTTACAGGGATTCCTTCCCTTTTTAAATTCTCTAAAATTCTACCTCCGAGTTGCCCGTTGATCTCCTAAATAATAATAATAATAATAAAAAAATTATTATTATTAACATATTAATAATTATTAATTATTATTATTATTAATTATTATTATTATGCTGGCAACTTTTAAAAGGGGGCGATTGAAAGGAGGGGGGTAAAAGTGGGGGAAGAGGACAATACTTGCATGCAGCCATCTTGCAAAGGAAAGGCCGTTTGCAGATCGAAAGCGCTCGCCAGGGGGGCTTCATAGGAGGGCCGTGTCGATCGCGGCCTTCAGGCGGTGCAGGAGAGCCTGCGGGCAGGGCGAGAGGGCTTCGGGCTTGAGCTTCTTGAACTCTTCGTTGGCGTTCAAGGAGGCCAAGACTTTTGCGGTCCTTTTGAGGTCGAACACCGCGTGGAGCATCCCCAGGCTGGAGAGGGCGGCCCTGGATGAGCGCTTGGAGGCGTCATCTTCGGAGTGGTGGTGCTCCAGCACGAAGATGCGGTTTTCCGCAATGATCTTCAGGAAGTTGTAGAATTCTTTGTAGTCGATGCCGGTGTAGGACTTCATCAGCACCTGGGGAGGAAGGAGGAGAGGAGAGGCTGAGGTCTAGAATTGAAAAAAATAAAAAAAATAAGGGACGTTGAACAAGGCTGAGCTGAAACGAGACGGTTTGCAGGCTCTTCTGTTAGGAATCTGTCCAACAATTAGTTGGGTTGGCAATATATAAACCAACAATATATGTTTGTAGCTTTAAGACAAAATCACTGTATTCCGATTAGTTGTGCTGCAAGTTGCCATAAGAGGGAGCTAGAGATCATGGCTTGCTCTCTCTGACATTCTGTCTCTCTGACATTCTGTTGCTATCTAAGGTTCTCTGTTGTGCTTATACTTTGATATCTTTGTTTACTGTAATGACAAAGGCAACCGGTAAGAAGACTTTGTAATTGGATATTCTTTGGACTGTTAAACGTATATGACCAGGACCGTTTATTGGACTGTGCTATTTCTTAAAGTAAACTTTAACTCAATTTAGTGTATCTGTGTGTGGCTGAATCATTATTCATAACTACTCTCATAAATGTTTCCATTGTTACTCAAGGGTTATTCTGTACATATCAAAACATTTTCCCTCACGCCGAGAGGCTATAGCAGCTATGGTCTCCCACTCAGGTTTTACTCAAAAGTATGGTAGCTGCACTCCTGGTGAAACGCGGAAGCTTCCCAGGTGTGTTTTTACCTGGCATTGCAGGTGCCAGTCTTCCATGCTCTCTTTCCATTCTTTGATCTCCCGCTGGACGGCGGCGAGTTCGTCCTGGAGAAAGCTCCACATGATGGCCACGTTGCATCCGTTCACCCAGTTGTGGTTGATGGAGATGGTATCTTCCTGGGGGGGGAGGCAGGAAATGGGGAACGTTTATCCCTCCCACCTAGGACACCTCTGTGTGTGTGTGTGTGTGTGTGTGTCTGTGTGTGTGTTACTATTGGTTTCCTCCTAGCCTAAGGGACGGAATTCCTTGGAGAATTAAAGTGGGATCCAGGACGAAAATTCTGTTCACAGGTCCATCAACAGTCAAATATTTCACCACAGAGAAAAGGATTAGGTAGTTGGTTTAAAAGAATTCAACTCAAACTGTGGATCAGGTATCTTAAGAGAATAGGGGGAGGGGGGGGGGGGGGATCAAGCTGGAAATTTAGGACTGAAGCTTTGGCCTAAAAGGGTGACTTTGGGCCAAGTACCAGGAGACAAGGAGTTTTAGTCCTCCCTTAGGAATCAAAAGTTGGCTGGGTGACGTTGGACCAAGTCTCGCAGACAGTTTCTTGGTGACCCACCCTCTCCTGGTGATTGAAACGAAGTCACCCATCTGGCGTCTGTACCTAAGGCCAGACTAGAACTCACTGTCCCCCAAGGACTGGCTGAAAGTTACCCAACTGGCTTTCATGCCTTAGGTCCCAGGGGTAGGGAAACTTGGCTCTTTTATCACTGATGGACTTCAACTCCCAGAATTCCTGAGTGAGCCATAAAAGGTTCCCCATCCCTGGCCTACTGGCTTTTCAGTTGTGAGGGAAACCCATTTTTGACTTAAGTGGGACTTTAATATACAAATGTAGGACAGTCCCATTCAAGTCAAAAATGGATTTCCCTCACAACTGAAAAGCCAGCAGGCCAGGGATGGGGAACCTTTTATGGCTCACTCAGGAATTCTGGGAGTTGAAGTCCATCAGTGATAGAAGAGCCAAGTTTCCCTACCCCTGCGTTAGGAGGAACTAGAACTCACTGTCTCCTAGTGATTGGCCCAGTCACCCAACTGGCTTTTTTTGCCCGAGGCTGGACTATGGGTAGAACTCCTGTTCCCCCAGTTTCTAGCCTGGTGCCTTAGCCACTAAGCCACAAACTGGATCTCTTGCTTTTCGCTTATATCAAGGAAAAGACGCCCAGAATCTTTGGCGGGAAAACTGAGGCTTGTGAACTCAGTGGCGGCATCTTCCTCTTGGAGGCGCTGGAACAGGGCTGTCAAACTGGCGGCCTGGATGCCTCATGCATTGGCCATGCCCGGTTTAACGAAGGAGGGAAAAGTCGCCACAGGTGCCGTTGACAACGCGGGTTTGACACCCCTGCCCTAGAAGGAAAAGGCATTGCTACCAAAAGACGCTGGCGGCAGCGGCAGCAGAACCCACTCTGCGTGTGCGTGTTTGTGCGTGCGTGTGTGTGTGTGTGTGTGTGTGTGTGTGTGCAAAGCTTGTTTTCGGAAGGTTCTCACCAGATTGTAAACCTGATGGTGCCAGCCGCTCGGGATGAAGACGATCTCACCAGCTTCCTGTATGATTTCGACCGGAGGGCTGCTCTGAGCGTAGCGGGGATACAGGGAGCCGTTCTTCAGGTCGGGAGCAGTGATGTCGAACGGCAGGTGACCATGGTGGTCCTTCAGAAACTCTTCTTGGCCTGGGGGGAAAACCAGCCATTTCTTTTTGCCGCAGATGTTGGCTGACCAGCTGTAAGAGCGGAAGACGTCGGCGTGGAAGGGTGTCCTGGCAGGAAAGGGAAGAGACAGGCAGGTGAGGAGAGAGGAGGAGACAAGGGAATAAGAGGGCGACTCAGCGCTGGTGTGTCTCAGAAGCTGGGGATTGAATTCTACCTTCTAAAGGCAGAGTTGTGGACCCTGCAGAGTAGAAATAGGGTTACGCTTTGGGGCTGCCAGGGGCTTAGAGGCTGGACAGAGGATGTTTCGGGAGTAGATTAACCTCTGATAGTGTATAGCTCAAGGTTGGCTATTTGGAGATGAGTGGACTTTAACTCTTCAAAATTCCCCAGCCAGCATGCTGAGAATTGTTGAGGTTGGGAAATCGTGATCTAGTGCAATTTTCTGAACTCTGAATGGGAGATGGGGCCGAGATACAGAAGGAGAAGAAGAGAGGAAAGGAAGAGAGAAGATAGAAAATGAGGAAAAGATGGAGAAGATAGACAACGAGGAGGAGGAGAAGATGGAGGAGGAGATGGAGAAGATAGACAAAGAGAAGATGGACAATGAGGAGAAGGAGAAGATGAAGAGAAAAAAGATGGAGAAGGAGAAGATAGACAAAGAGGAGAAGACGATAATGATTAAAAGATGAACAATGAGGAGGAGATGGAGGAAGACAATGAGAACATGCAGGGAGAAGAGATATATGGAGGAGAAGATACAGAGAGAAGATGGAGGTGAAGGAGGAGAAGATGGATATGGAGGAAAAGATACGACAAAGAGGAGAAGGTCGTCAATGAGAAGATATACAATGAGAAGATGAAGAAGGAAAAAGATGTAGGAGGAGAAGATATACACAGAGGAGAAGATAATGAGGATGAAAAGATGGACAATGAGGAGGAGAAGATGGAGAAGACAATGAGGAGAACATGAAGAAGGGAGAAGATGGATATGAAGGAAAAGATAAGACAATGAGGAGAAGATCGTCAATGAAAAGACAGACAATGAAGAGGAGAATATGAAGAGGATGGAAAAGATAGACAAAGAGGAGCAGATGGACAATGAGGAGAAGAAGGAGAACATGAAGAAGGAGGAGGAGAAACAGTAAGAAGATGGAGAAGACAGACAACGAGGAAGAGGAGGCAGAGGAGGAGGAAGAGAAGCTACTTCTATGGTGCGCAGGCTGGTTGGGGAATTGTGGGATTTGAAATTAAGTGGCCAAGGTTGAGAAACCTTGAACTAGTGTTTATCTTCAGTACAGCGGTGACCTCTGATGGTTTCAAGCGGCCAAACTTTTCACTCAGAGGGCAGTCCTTTGGGGATTTGTAAACTAGATTTATGGGATGATCACTGACCTGGATGACTGAGGATCTCCGAGGACAGTCAATTACAGGGTGGAGGGGGGGCACCATTGGAAGGAGCCTTGAAGGACCAGGCTGGGTGAGAATACCCTGCAGAAAACCTATCTAGGTGCTCACCGAGGATTAACTACAACAATGGGATATCCTCACAGCTATTATAAACAAACAATTCCCCCCCCCCCCCCCGAAAAACCAGTCAGGAGTTGGTTCAGTTACCATGAGCCTTTAGGTCCCATGTAGACAAACCGGTAGTCATCCACAGCGATGGCTTCCCAATATTCATTCAACCAATCAGAGGAGAAGTAGATGGGCGTGGTGTAGACTTCCTGATCCGGAAATGTCCTTAAAGAAACGAGGATGATGACAGCATTTTGAAAGAGCATAAACAAAGGGCAGATGGTGGTTTTAATAACTTGGGAGGACGATCCACCCGAACAGATACAGGAAGTCCTCGACTTACAACCACAACTGAGCCCAAATATTTTCTGTTGCTAAGCAGGGCAATTGTTAAGTGAGAATTGCCCCCATTTTATGGCCTTTCCAGTTGTTAGGGGGAACCACTGCGGTTGTTAAGTTAGTAACACAGTTGATAATTGAATCTGGCTTCCCTGTTGACTTTGCTGGCCAGAAGGTAAAAAAAAGGGGATCCAGTGACCCGCCCCCACCCCCGGGGACGCTGCAACCGTCACAAATACGAGTTTGGTTGTCAAGCGTCCAAATTTTGATCCCAGAAGTCAGCTGGGAAGGACGTAAATGGCGGCCATGCCACCCTGGGAGGCCCCCTCTGTCTTAAATACCATGCCGTGTGCCAAGCTGACCGCCTGATTGTGAGAGGGCGCTGCATGGGTCATAAGTGCGAGGACCGGCTCTAAGTCAGTTTTTTTTTTTTTTTCATGGAACTTTGTCACTAAACGAGCGGTTGCAAGTCGGGGACTGCCCGTACAAGGAAGCACGCAGCACAACCGTGGTGGAACTCGAGTGGCTGCAAATTGTAGGAGAAAAAGAAGAAAATAATAATAAAAACAAGGCATTCCACACACTCAGGAGGGAAAAACAACGGCGGGTGACTGGGTTCGTGACGAGAGAGAGAGAGAGAGAGAGAGAGAGAGAGAGAGAGAGAGAGAGAGAGAGAGAGAGAGAGAGAGAGAGAGAGAGAGAGAGAGAGAGAGAGAGAGAGAGAGAGAGAGATGCAAATTAAACACGATTCCTGCAGTTTCAGGAGGGAATTCATGCGGTGGGTTCCTGACGAGAGAGAGGTGCAAATTAAAGGCGATTCCTTCCGGGCAGGTGGCGTCAGGAGCACCTGAGGGAAGCTTTCCAAAAAAAACAACAACAACCCCCAAACCCCACCAGACGAGGGGATTTAGCGGCATGCCGACAATCTCTGGGCGAGAGCCGTGGCTTACCTTTGCAGGTGCCAATCCTTGAGGTAAAGGCAGCCGCGGGCAGAGCGATAGCTTTTTTTAATGTGTTCCTTCCAATAGCTTATGTACTCCTTGAGCTTAAGGTGTTCCTTTGGGTTACAATTGTACTCCTTGACATCGCAGTTGGCCACGGGGACTACAGCCTCGCCTGCAACATAAACTCTTTCAGCCCACAAGGGGTTGGATCCCTTTTCTGTTTCCTGGCCTCGCTCTGGGGATAGGGGCTGAAGGGTCAAACTGTGGAGGGATTTGGGTCTAGGGGGACCCCGGGAGGGCGCTCCCGAGTGGCTGCCCCCTGGAAAGGTGCCCTCTCTCCTTTTCTGAGTGCTGGGGAGGGGAAAGAGGGAGGGAGGAAGACAGGGAAGGAGAGACAGAGACAGGTGAGGGGAGGGGAGAGGGAAGGAAAGAAGGACAGAGAGGAGAGGAGGAGAGAGGGAGGGGAGAGAGGGAGGGGAGGAGAGGCAGGAGGGGAGGAAATGGAGCAACAGAGGAGAGACGACAGAGAGGAGAGGAAAAAGTGAAGAGGGAGGGAGGGGAGAGAGGTGAGAGTAAAGGAGGAAAGGAGAAGAGAGGGAGGAGAGGAA